CGTTCAGCGACAAGCGGCTTGCATGACTGCAGATCCTGGCTATGCCTGAGGAGTTGGTGAAGTCCATCGAGGATCTGCGTGGCTTAGCTGGATGTTGCCACAGTGCCGGCACTTTCGCCGCAGCGGCGGCGGCAGCAGCAGGAGGAGCAGGAGCAGCACGAGGAGCAGGAGCAGCAGCAGAAGCAGCAGCAGCAGCAGGAGCAGGAGCAGCAGCAGGAGGAAGAGGAGTTTGCGGTGACTGCAGAACTAGGAGAAGCTTTCTATGCCATGGTTGGTCTAGTCGCCTCCTGCTCGTGCCTGAGGTGAAAAGCGCGAAGAACTCAACCGGCAAATCCTGAAGGTCTGACTCATCCATGTGGCCATGTTTTTCATGAGACCGCACACCTTTTTTGTTGCGCGTCACTTTGTGCAGTTCATGGTGATGGCCCTGGCTTTGCACCGTCACATGCATCAATGAGTTGGCTGAAGCTTCGGACTGCGGCAGGAGGAGGAGGACAAAGCGAAGATTCAGAAGGAACTGTCCATTCTCACGGACCGAGCCATGACAGCATGTGGTTCCTGCAAAGGATAGTCTTGATGTCTGAAACTAGTTTTACGAGGTGTTCATGTATGCTTGGTCTTCAGGATGTTTGACGGGCATACGAGATGCAATGAGTCGCAGTTCATCCAACGAGAATAGCAAGAGACCATGGACCAAAGCCGCGCTGACGTGAAAAGGTCTACAGAAGATCAACGAGAGCCTGGTTCGTAAGACGCAGGCTCGGGCGCTCAGAGCAGCAACTTGATGTGCGGACAATCCTTGTCTGTCCGTTTCGTTTTAAAAAGCCATCAGCCAGAATGGAGCACGCGCGTCATGGTACAACCATTGTGGCATGGGTCAAGGCGCGGAACGAGTACGACAAGACGATTCAAGAGACCGAGGCAGGGTAGTTTTTCTCCATTCTTGTTATCCATCACCAAGAAGGGTCTGGCTAGAAGTGGTATCCCCTTTCGTCCCGCCGCGTCGTTGGTAGAATTGGTTAAGCAGCAAAGCATGCTCTTCCTGGTTGCAAGGCTGCCTACATGAAGATCTTGGAGTCCTCGCAGACCCTTCTCCACGTGCTGAAGCGCGAGACTGTGAACCTGACCAAGTGGCGTACTCAGAAGGATTCAGAAGGTGAGCCACCACAGCCGATGACAGCTGGCGACCTATAGTCGCATCTGCGCGGGCTGGACATCATAGCGTGAGCATTTGTGAGTAAAATTGGCAAGGAGGGTACGAGCAATGGCGCTGTAGATCACGTTTGAGCGACGCGGATGCGTCGCGTAGGAACGGGCTGCTTTGAGAGCTATCTCTGCCTGCTACGTGTGCTACGGCCATCTTGAACTTAGTCTTCCCAGCAGATTTCCATTGGAAGCCCGAGGAAGAAGGGCGAGCAATAAGTCCAGCTCATCACGGACCTTGGCCACGACAGTTGCAGGCCACAGAGGCTGGGATTCAATGTGATTTATAGCTGCCGTGAAGGAGGAAGCTGAGCACTCCCCATGCCAGGCAAGAACGGACACGATGGCGTCCTTCTGAGGGTTTCACCTTGCTTCTCTTTTTGCAAGCTGTTGCTGCCTGCCGGATTCAGGTGTTTGAAGGGGTTGCTGACTGTGACAAGGTCGAACTCCTTACTACCTTACCCTGTTGCAGCAGGCAGTTGCAGACCGAGCCTTCTCTTCACTGTCATCCCAAACGGGCATGCTTGAGCTCCAGACTTCTCAGGGTTTACGTTTGTCACAGATGCAGAGGTTGGCCTATGCTTGGCAATGCTGCAACTAGCTCAAAAGGAGCTTAAGCTGTTGAAGGCTTCGCAGCCCGCATCTCTGCTGCGCATCCTGCACTGCGATGCGTTTTGCACGGCAGCGTGGAGTGCAGTAGACATCCGAACTCTCAGCAAATGCTCGGCGCCCTGCACGACCAAAACCTGGACATAGCGATACACGCCCCTAAGCCCTTAGCTCTTTTAAGTAGTTAAGCCCGCCCTTGCCTGAAGGGGTGCGAAGGAAAGGGCTGTCGTCAATTGAGAGGCCCTGCCTCGCCAACATAAGATCACACCCTGAAAGAGAAGTGTGTCGCCAGATGCAGGGTTCAATGCGCAGAAAGGCTACAGTATGCCTAAAAAAATATGAGAAAACTACCTACATCACTGACTAACAGCAGTGCGTTTGTGTGCTTAGAGAAAAAGACTCTCATATTGCATTATTATATCAATATGAAGGATGGACACCTGATTGAGGCTCTTTAGCTTGGAGCCCTGAGGCGCCCACTACCTACACAAGATTTCACAACAAGTATTGGATTGTGATTGACCCGGGGGCATGTCGGAGTTTGATAACGGGCTGGTTGGGGGCTTCGGACTTGGCAATTCCAGAGGCATACGTTCCTTTCTTGTTCTTGTCGCAGGACCACCCCTTAGCTTTGTTTCCATGTTCGACCTGGACCAAGCATATACTGTTGAGTACATGCAGCATGCATAGTGAAAGTGAGAATGCGTGGTTCACCGAAGTGGTTGGGCCGTTTTGCTGACTTGGACCAAGCAGCGTATCTCGCGCCAGCACTTCCGGCATCTCAGTCTCAGTCATTGCCTGAGTACTCAACTCGATGCAATTTGCTGCTGGCATGTCCGCACAGCAGTGGCATGAGTGCAAAAGTATTTACAGAAGCGATGATCTCGGGAGTTCAAGCGTCGAATGCTGCAGGGTGTTGGTAGGGACACGGTGCACGTGAATAGCCTCTTGCTGTCTAGCTCTGTTTGTGCTTTGCTGCTGAGGACGACTTTCTGACCTTCAGCTATGGCCTCCCAGGGTGCCACGTTGCAGAACTACAACAACGACCCTCGGCCTTCAGCAAAGCCTGACGGCCTAAGGATCCTTCCCATCGCTTTACAAACATACCTCTGAGTTGAACATGTGGTGCATAGTGCCCCTTGGGAAGGTGCGTTAGTCTGGGCAAATTATAACATTCTCACCCGACCTCACCTTCAATAGTGGTTGGTACTGGTCTAGAATTATCGAAAATGGTCCCACATTTGCCGAATTTCACGTTTTGACCGGTTAATTGCGGTAAATGTCATGCTAGTGAGTTGATAGCTCTGCCTGAATTGCGCGTTCAGCAGCTAGCTGCTTGAGTGCTTGGAGACCCTGTCTTGTTATGCCTGAGGAGCTGGTGAAGTCCATTGAGGATCTTCGCGGCTTAGCTGGATGTCATGCAGCTCTAGCCGCTCATACCGCCGTACTGGCTGCAGCACTACCGAAGTACTTGGAAGCCGCTATTAACAACAACTGCAGCAAAACATGGGTGCGCTTCCTCCTCGTGCACTAGGTGAAAAGCGCGAAGAGCTCAACCGGCAAATTCTGAAGGTCCGACGCACACATCTGACCCCTTTTTCCTGGAGATCTCAGTTTCAAACCTTAACTGCTGACAACGGCAGGAAGAGGAGGATAAGGCAAAGATCCAGAAGGAACTGTCTATTCTCACCGACCGAGCCATGACAGCACGTGGTTCCTGCAAAGGATAGTCCTACATTAGTGTCTGATATCCGCTTCAAGAGCTTTTGGCCGAAGTCTTGGCGTCGAAAGGTCTACAGAAGGTCAACGAGAGCCTGGTTCGTAAGACGCAGGCTCTGGGGGCTGAAGATACCGTGACAGTTAAACTCAGAGCAGCAACTTGATGTGCGGACAATCTTTGTCTGCCCGTTTCGTTTTAAAGCGCCATCAGCCAGAATGGAGCACGCGCGTCATGGTACAACCATTGTGGCATGGGTCAAGGCGCGGAACGAGTACGACAAGACGATTCAAGAGACCGAGGCAGGGTAGTTTTTCTCCATTCTTGTTATCCATCACCAAGAAGGGTCTGGCTAGAAGTGGTATCCCCTTTCGTCCCGCCGCGTCGTTGGTAGAATTGGTTAAGCAGCAAAGCATGCTCTTCCTGGTTGCAAGGCTGCCTACATGAAGATCTTGGAGTCCTCGCAGACCCTTCTCCACGTGCTGAAGCGCGAGACCGTGAACCTGACCAAGTGGCGTACTCAGAAGGATACAGAAGGTGAGCCACAACAGCCGATGACAGCTGGTGACGTATAGTACTGTAACGCATAGTAGCATCGCCTGTGTGGCCGAGCCTGCACCAGCACCAGCTCGACATCAGACGGTGAACAGTTGTGAGTGAAATTGTCAAGGATGGTACTAGCAATGGCGCTGTAGATCACGTTTGAGCGGCGCAGATGCGTCACGTAGAAACGGGCTGCTTTGAAAGCTATCTCTGCCTGCTACGTGTGCTACTGTCATCTTGAACTTAGTGCTACAAGCGGATTTCCATTGGACGCCTCTTCGCTGAACGTATCTGAGGAAGAAGGGCGAGCAATAAGTCCAGCTCATCACGGACCTTGGCCACGGCAGTCACAGGCCACAGAGGCTGGGATTCAATGTGATTTATAGCTGCCTTGAAGGAGGAAGCTGAGCACTCCCCATGCCAGGCAAGAACGGACACGATGGCGTCCTTCTGAGGGTTTCACCTTGCTTCTCTTTTTTGCAAGCTGTTGCTGCCTGCCGGATTCAGGTGTTTGAAGGGGTTGCTGACTGTGACAAGGTCGAACTCCTTACTACCTTACCCTGTTGCAGCAGGCAGTTGCAAACCGAGCCTTCTCTTCACTGTCATCCCAAACGGGCATGCTTGAGCTCCAGACTTCTCAGGGTTTACGTTTGTCACAGATGCAGAGGTTGGCCTATGCTTGGCAATGCTGCAACTAGCTCACAAGGAGCTTAAGCTGTTGAAGGCTTCGCAGCCCGCATCTCTGCTGCGCATCCTGCGCTGCGATGCGTTTTGCACGGCAGCGTGGAGTGCAGTAGACATCCGAACTCTCAGCAAATGCTCGGCGCCCTGCACGACCAAAACCTGGACACAGCCAACGCTTGCCCGCCCTTTGCAATTTTGCTGTGCTCATCCTGCCGTGCCTTGAGTGAACTCTGGCCTGCGAAAGGCGAAAGCAGCAGTGGTGCCGGTGGCGAGCTTGGCAAGAAGGCAAGCCAAGGCTTACCGTGGTAGCAAAACCGAAATGAAAGTAACTCCGCAATGCGCAAATCCACCGTGTACCTAGAGGCGGACCTGCTTCATGCCGGTGTTTCCAGCTGCTGCTGAGGCGCTTCTGTGCAGATGACAAGTTTGATAACAAGGCATTGGTGATCCGTTCAAGTTTTTGCTCCGGCCAGCTGCATTGCATGCCAGCAGCACAGAGCTCCCTTTGACTGCTTGACATGCATTGCTACTGAGCATCTCGTGGCACGGGCAGTAAGTACCAGCCGTGAGCTCTCGATTCCCGGAGCATGCTGCAGTCGCTTGGCTATCCGCAACAACCTCTGAACGTAACGTGTATATGTTTTGGGAGTGTGCATGCAGACATCACTTCACGCGTAAGCCTTGTGGTACATTCTTGAGTTCTCACTTGCTCAGCATCTAGACTCAGTGGAGGCACGCCCAGCGTTGCCTAGCATCTTTCGTCCGTGCCAGACTTGCCCAAAGCCATGGCACAGCCAGAAACGGAAAAGCTACGCCTTGCGCATGCTGTGGAAAGCGTCTTGCAGAGGGCCTTGACAAAGGAAGATCTTGCCTACACCACCGTGGAGCACATGGATTCCCTGGAACAATCCTTTACTTCCACGGTAGCCCTTCAGTTGCCTTCAGGCGAGAGCACTGCGCAAGGCACAGGAAGCTCCGAAGCAGAGGCAGAGCAAAGAGCTGCCCTGCAAATGCTCCAGGTCCAGGGCTGGAGAGGCCCAGACTCAGAGGAGATTCAAACTGCGCCCGGTGGTTCGGGCTATCCTGACACTGGCACGGGATCACCATCAGTGGAGGATGCACAGGTAGGCAATGCAGACACGCGCACTGCCTCAAACGCTGTGGCCTCAGAGAACCGCCCGACAGATTGCAAAGGAATATTGAACCAACTCATGCAGAAGGTGTTGGGGCGGACACCGCACAAATCAGACATGGCATTTGATGCCAGGGATGTTGCAGAAGGATTCCAGTCAACACTAGCGCTGCAACTCAGCGCAACCTGTAGGCAGACCTTCAGTGGAGAGCCTGCGCGGACGAAGAAGGCAGCGGAACAAAATGCTGCCTGGGCTGCAATCTGCCAGTGCGCGGAACTGCAGAAACATTGGGAGGGGGGATCCTCAAGACCAGTTAGCAGCCAGACCACCTCGCGCCCGGCACAACACGGAGAGGACACGACAGATGATATCCGGGTGACCCCAGCCGCACCACTGTCAGTGCCGCAGAGCTTTTCGCTTGAGAAGCCTGCCGAAGTAAGTCCAGTTCACGAAGCAGCACAGGAGACTCTGCCCGTGGCTTGTCAGCAGATGGCTTCAATTAGGGAGGGCCTATTTCAAGTGTACAGTGCTGATAAATAATACAAGAGGCACAGGCTGCTATTTGGGGTGCTCCTACACTAAAATCGCTCTCTGCTGAAGACTTGCCAGGAAGAGCTCAGATTACGGTTGGCCCAGCAGGCCAGTGGGAGCTTGAGATGGTTCGGGGGAACGACACCTGGCTCTTTAAAGGGAAATTTCGTGTTTTTTTTTCCGCAGGAGGTGCGCATCCCACAAGATCTGGCTGAACTCACGGAGGCAGAAGTGGAGGACCGGCAGCCGATCATGTTCAGGGCTTCAATTTGAATAGCTTTTCAGCGCGGTACCTCCGAAGTGGGCCAACAAAGAGGGGGACTTGCATCTGTCCTTCACAAAAACTGCTTTGACGCCTTTTGCCCGCAGAAGCCCCCCTTGGCACAGACATGATATAATAGAGGTTCCAGGGCCGCTGTCGCAAGCCCCTGCCCCTTCCAGTCGTATATTGAAACCCCCCTACCGGTTGTACATGCTACCGCCGAGGAGCTGCTTGTGGATCCGTCAGCAATTCTCGTGTGTACGTTTGAAAGGAGCTGTGCCAGGGTCTGAAGTTTGGGAGTAAAGCCCGTCTTCGTGCCCTTCATCGAGGCGTGCGTACGTCGGATGGGCAAAGTTTGCATGCGACCTTGATCGATGTCACTTGCGATAACTGGTCGCAGGCTGTCGGCGTGCGGTCTGAATCTTGCAAGTGTTTGGAAGTCAGCTACACTGCTGCGATTCCCTTCTTCTGCCACAACGCCGCGAAGAGGAGACAATGTGAAGGGGCAGCCGCAAACTTGGCTAGCTCCGGCATCTTGCCATTGCCGCTGTCAGCTAAATGCCCTGTGAACAAAGAAGAGTGTATCTGTCCCTCAGATCTGCAAAGTAGAGCGCGCCAGCCCTGCTGTAGTGGCAACAGGAAGCAGTTGTTTATACTTGCCGCAGAGCTGCGCTGAAGTGGTGAACCCGATGAAGCACGAATCCATGAACAGCGTAAGCGATGGAAACAGGCGATGCAGCGGCAGCGATGGATGTCACAGGCAGGCAATCGCTCTTCTTGAATGCCGTTTTGTGCATTTCTCTCCGTTACATGCACTGGGAGCAGTAGGGCCTCCTGACGCTTACACGATGCTTCCATGGCAAGGCAACCAATAGCCCGCCTGTTTGCTTTGGTCCCCTCAAGCTCCAACATGGAGCTGTAGCAAAGGGAGGTGGGAGGTGGCTGGTGTGATGTTCCCTTTCAAGTCAGCATGCGTGGCTTTGGAAGCTTGTAGTCTCGATAGGTCTTGTTGGTACAGACTTGTAAACATGGAGTGTTGCGTGACTATGTGTTGAATTCGGCTGGCACCCTGCAGGACCTCCAAAGGAGGTTCCTTCACGCAGAGTGCTTGCTTTGCCAGCTGCCATTGCATTCTGAACCCAACAGAGGCTATCACAAACACTGGCTCCGCTCTAGTCACATCTAGGTAGAAGAACCCCCAAGCTGTGACCAGATCACATCTTATAGTCCCTCTTAATCACAAGTATAGATAAGGACACTGTTTCGGAATATGCCTACCTAGAATTACTTGGCATTTTCAGCATATGGCAGCTGGATGGCTAGCCAGTTGCCATGATTGACGATGGACCGGAGGCCTCCTCCAGCTGCAAGCTCGGTTATGCGGACTTTCGGCTAGAGGTCCTAAAGATCAATGTCTGAGCCAGATTTTCTGGCTTGAGGAGGCAAAGTGAACCAAGGCCAAACTTTTTGGGCTTGTCCGTAGTGGTTTGACTTCAGGTTTCAGAAGAATTGGCCGTGCCAACTAGCAGATGTGAAGGAGAAGTTTTGTCCAAGCAGCAGTTGAACGCAGGTGGACTCGCTTCTGAAGCCCTTTTCCCATCATGACGACCATGATGATGAAAGGAACCTTGACTGCCTGGATTAGTTTGCGCCAGGCATTTGCCGGATACAGCAGTGCGTGGGCGGGTAATAGTAATCTCTAGGCGCGGAGGACATACGTCAGAGTATGCACCAGGACGACAGTCTAAATCGCATAGTGTGGAGTGCGCAGCGCAGCTGACCACATATGTGAGCGGAAGTATAGATAGCAGAGGTGTGTACCTTTTGGTAAATGGGTCGGCTGGAGCCCCTTTATCAGATTTAGATGAGGGAGCAAGCGCTCAGAACACGAACCCGTATCGGTCACATGGGCATGTACCTGTCAAGAGCCGGTTGTTCAGGCGCAGGACGTCAGTGCTGACTTCGGCTGAGCGAGCGCGGGCTACGCTGGAAGAACTTGCTGCTCAGGCCGCTTGCCTAAGTGGCAGAGGTGAATGGGACAATTTGGGGCCCAGGCAAATCGTCAGCTGTCACAGTGTTTCAGCTTCGGTGCAGATTGCAAGAACAACGCAATTCATGAGTCCATGCCATGCCAGGCTTTAAGGCCCCTTTGCGATGGTCAGGGATTTGTCGTGAGAAAGCAGCCATGAGCGGGCGGTATGCCAGCTCGTCACCTCAGCAGGGGTCCAAAGCTGTTTCAGCCCCACTTCGGGAAATGGAAATGTGATGAAATGTGTGTCTGCAAGTGATTGCCCTAAACAACTAGTGAATGCCAAAGCTGCACTGGCCAACACGGGGAGCAACCCAACAATGTCAGCAAAACAAAGACTTCTAACTTGACTCAAGACGACAACGTCCGAAGCTGAACCGGTAATCCACGCTGTTCCATGCTATGCGTGCGCTGGCTGCATGGATTGCTATTGTCCTGCTTGCCCGTGGCTCATGCTGATTGCGTGGCAGAGTATGGCAGCAACCCTGACTTCCTGGAGTATTCTGGCTATGCCTTCAAGGTCCCCAGAGGAGCCCCTATTCCATTGGACGTGCAAGAGTTTTTTTACATGAAGGATGACCCTTACATTGTCCAGCTGACCAAATATGCCATGTGGACCCATCGGATGTTGACAGCATGCTGGAGCATTGGCGGACGTGTGTGGGAAGTCCGCCTTGTCTTGAATGCAACTCTTCAAGTGGCAGATGGGACAGGAGGCCTACACACTGCTGTCTGCGCCCCAAAGAGTTGCAAGAGCCATCAAGTGCTGCAGCGCATTGCGATCAAAGTGGTGACCAGGGACTTCAACGCAGTTCCACCCGAGCGGCTTCGGGGAGTGGCTCAGCCTCTGTCCAGCTGGAAGTTCATCAACGTGAGATTCGCAATCGTTGGAACTGAGGGCTGTGGCACAACCTCCCTGCAAAAGAACTTGAACCGGCACCCAGAAATCCGTTTCACTCGGCAAGATGACCATGAGGAGACTCTCTTTGCACCAGGCTATATTCACGAGTACATAGGCGGTTTCCGTATGCTGCCGACAGAAGCACAAGTGAACCGCATCAATTGCGGCCGGCCCCGTTGTAGCCCTGATGTGCCTTGAAGGAATTATTCCTCTAGATCTGTCTCTGAGCACCATGAGCCACTTGCCCTTGTAGCTGCTGCAAGCTTGAACTGAGGATGCAGATCCAGATGTAAGACTGGGGATGAAAAACTACATGCTTCACAATTTCGATTTTGGCCTGGCTACGTTGTTTTTGATCGACGGCGTGATAGTCATTGCAGTGGTTTGTGATCCTCTGGATCGACTGGAAAAATCAATGTTCTGGACCTACTGTCAGTTTCAGAACAGCTCCCGCTGCGCCAATGGGGCGATCCTGGACGAGGTCATGCAGCAGACAACAGTAGAGGCTGTGGTTGAGGAGACGCCCGTCTCAAGTCACGTCCAAGTGTCTGCTTAATCAGTTTGCATGCAAATATTTAAAAAAGGAGCCACCGTCCTTCACTCACCTAATGTTAACTTGCTATTACTGCAGGGAGTGACAATACAATATTCGCGCTGGTCCAGAAACCCGGAGGTTTACTTTTGCCTTCTAACAAGTTCGGAGGCCAAAAATCTAAAAACAAGTTCAATCGGCAATGCGAAACAGGTGCCAAAAAACGAATCCTCGCCCGATAGCATGCTCAGAAAATGGTCTTGTACTACTAGTCCGACCCCACACCATGGTTCATTACTGCAAGCCACCACCCCCCCGTCCATAGACCAAACATGCAAAGCATGTCTTTTTGAAAGGGAGAAACATGTGCACTATTGTCAGGATAGCAGTATAGTCCAGTCCTAGCAGGCCCCAAAAGGTCACGCGTAGTTTTGCAACATACCCCAGGCACCGTGATCACTGGATTGCAGCAGAGAGGGTGAACATCCTCCACAGCCTTTTCCGGGAAAGGGCTATCGTGGCCCACCAGTCGATTCTGCGCAGCCGCCCCGAGCAGCTTTATCGTCTGCTGTTCCATCGAATTGGCGTCAGACCTCCACCCGAGGATATGCAGTATCATCGCTACAATTCTGTTGGTGGAGACAGGACAGGGCTGTGCCGGAGGAAGCAGCTACTTGCTCAGTTCCAGGCCTTTGCTGGCGAAAAAGTTCAAACTTGTTTTGAGCATGTGGCTTCCAATGCACTGTCGGATTCTGGGGAGTTTTCAAAGTCGTGGTTCCGCCCTTCCGAAACACCAACATTCAGAGCTTGCATAGGGGATCCACTTATTTGAGAAGCACACCCAGCTTGCTTGCTCGTTAGACGTCATGAGGCAGAGCTCGAGCCCGAGTATCAACGATTGGAAGAGGTACTTCGACGCTTGAACCATCCACCCATCCCTGAGCTGGAGAACAGGCAGGGCTGCTCTTTTTGGACTTGCTTGGCGAGTGGAAACCGAAACTGCCCCCCTCATGTAAGTATCCTACATGCCTTTGTCCTACAGTCCCCAACAGACGCGGCCCCGCTGCCCCAAACAGACTACCCTGGAAAAGGCAGACCCGTTGCAATCGCCCGGGCGAGCTCAGCAGAAGCCGGCGCTGCATCAATCGGCGTTGTGAGTAACCTGCGTGACCTTGAGCAAGTGGCGCGGCCCACGGTCAACGAGCAATCCGGATAGGAGTGGGGCTATACTTCACAGCAGAAGTATACTGAATGACACTGGCCCCGGCGCCCCGGCATGATCACGTCTCCTTCACGATGAAGGCAGTTCTAGGGCAAGAGATTAAACTTGCGTCCAGAGGTGCATCAATCAGACGCAGCATGTTTTGCAAGTCGGCGAGCTCAGCGAGCTGATGCTGCACATGATGGCTCTGATGTTTGACTGGAAGCAGGGTGAAGCACCAACTGCATTCGCGTGCGCACTGAAAAGCAGGTTCCGCGCGCTTCTTCTGGAGATTCAAGCTGGTTCCTGCATCAGCGGCCGTTGGGGTAATATTGGGTTTATATATTGGGGCTTTATAGGGATCATGGAAAGAACATGAAACTGTCATATCATAATAAGTTACCATAGTAGTTTCCATTTTCTTTTCCATTATCCCTGTGATACCCTATATCACCCCAATATAGCCCCTAATAGGTACCCCGTCTAGGGTAGTTTCCATTTTCTTTTTCATCTCTCCCAATATATAATCCCTGTATCACTTGAATATAACCCAATATCGTGGCCTCACAAGAACCCCAATATATCCCTAATATAACCCTCATATAACCCTAGTGTAACCCTAATATTCCCTGTTTGCTTGCAGGATGCGGCCCCCAAGAAGAGTGCCGTTGAGCGGCTGCCGCCCAGTTGAAGATCGTAATTATATATTGGAATAATGGAAACGAAAATAGAAACTACTACATTACAATAGGGGTTATATAGGGATAACGGAAAAGAACATGAAAACTACTATATTGTGCTTGTTGCGCTGAGTTGTGTGGCCTGCTTAGTAGTGGTAGGCTCAGGCATTATGGAGATAATCACTCGAGACTCGCATGGATTTGTCCTTGCTAGTTGCCTCGTCCTAAAACCATTCCACTGCCAGAGCTTGAAGCAGGCAGTCAGCTCGTAAGCTTTTGAGCGGTGCTAAGGCACGATATCGCTTTGGAGGCGGATTGCGCGACAATGCTGAAGGCATGGTTTCAGCTGCTTGGACCTTTAAATGAGGACTATTTAAGCTCTTGCGGGTGTTTGCTATGTCAGTCACTGCACCTGTGCTCTCCCAGGTATCTAGACAAAGACCAGAGCGGTCGTGCCTTGGCTTTGACCGATTGGTGTAAGCGCCTGAAGCCCATCAGTTGCAAGACCTGGCATGCTCTGGTCAGCAAGGCATCGACTACAGCGAGTTTGACAAGGGCCTCAAGGACCGTCAAAGAACCGCCTGCTGGAATGGCAGGTACTTGCGCACAAGGCATCATCGCTGCATAGCCCTTACTCAGTTAAGGAAGCTCTTGGATGTGCACAGGAAGAAGTCCAACCAGTTTTGGCAATCTTTCTAGGGCCGTCTGGATTTGATGCAAATTTGCATGTCGTGAAACAAGCCAGCATGAGGAGATGAAGTTCACCGGAGGTCCAAAGCAGACGCTGAAGCTGTGGCAGGATGGCCAGAGGGCATAGCACCCGTGAGAAAGCAGCTATCAGCACCGGCTGTGCCTATCATTAGTTATGCTTTTCACTAATGCAAGTGTCTCTGATGATCTCGCGCGCTATGGCATGTGTGGCCCCCTGCAGCAGGAACTGGACAGCGACATGTCAGGGGCAATCTCATTTGATGAGTTCACGCTTCCGGAGGAGGCGCCATGCCGGCAATAATCAGGAAGCAAGAATCCTCATTATCATGCCAGGGCGCATTAGAGTGAGAACGGCCTGTGCTACTGTACTGGAAGCAGGGTACATTCAAAGGAATAGAGCAATACCTGAAGCAAAAGTAGACTATTCAGACGCGTTCCTTTGAAAGGTAGATTATGATCACTTTTGGTTGGGATTGGTCGGGAGAGATCTTGGACACTTCTAGACCTTCCATGCATGGATTCGTTTGGCACAAATCGTATCGTGCCTTCAACAACTTATTACGATGTGTATCCCCATGCAGCCACCATCAGACACCTGAGCTGCTACCTGTTGTGCGGGCCTGCCTCATGATGTCATGCTGTCGCTCAAGCTACAAGCTGCGGGTAATGTAACCCATTATAGTAGTTTCCATTTTCTTTTCCATTATCCCAACGTAGCCCCTATATAACCCCTATATATACCCCCATTGTACCAGTTTCCATGTTCTTTTCCATTATCCCAAGGTAACCCCTGTATACCCCTAAACCCTACTTTTGCGTTGAGGCTGAGCTTTGGCGCACGTTTTGCAGATTCGCTGGCTCCACTTTTTCCAGTGGCAGGGAATCTCGCCAGTCCAAGTTTCGCCGTGCTTTCTGTGGCAGAAATGGATCTTTTGTGCCAGCCACTAGTGCTAGGATCCAGACAGCGGTGGTGCCGGGCCATGCTACAGTGTTGCTAATTTGCCTCAGGACATGCTCAAGCGGATCCAAAAACAGTATGCCGATGCCAACGCTGTTGACAAGGTCGCTGACAAGGTGCGTCATTATGAATTCTACCCGCTGATAGTGCATTCGCCGGGGTCGCCAGCTTCGTCACTTACGGGCACATTCAAGGAATCACTGTCTGAAACTGCCAGAGAACAATTGACTTGTGCCACAAGACCAAGATGTGTAGGTATATGTCTGTCGCAGCTGCGGCTTCTCTCGTAACTGCTGTTGTGTTTCTATCGCTTGTGGCAGAGTTCCAGCCCCTGAGGCTGTGACAGAACAGGAGCTCTGTGAGAGCCTCGTTGCTTTGGGTTGGACTGGAGGCTCGCCTCTTGGCCCATGCGCTGCCCGGAGCAAGTGTAGCTATAGTCTAAACTATTTCAAGGTTGTTTTTTTAAGGGGATTATATAGGGGAGTATTGTAAGGCTTATTACGGGGGATACTAGGACTTTAGACAATGGCTCAAGTGTAGCTATGTAGCTAAGACTGCAGGATCCCACATCGGATTCAGTCGCTTCTGCTGCAAGCCCCCCTCACCTCGTCTGTTGCAACCACTGCTGCTTCTGTCGCTGCAATTGCAGCTGCAAAGAACTGACGGCTGCCGCTCTTGCAGCAACTACGGCCCCTGTCGCGTTGATAACCACAGGATACAACATGTACTGAACATTTGCAGTAGCTTATGTGGGCTATCCTGTGGCAATGCAGGGTCGTGTGCATAGCGGTGTGCTCACTTCCACAGATGCTGTCCTCGCGACGCAACTTCCATTTCGCAAGATTTCCTGCATTTATTCAGTCTGCCAATGTGCTGCAGGTCAGGAATCGATGTTTTTTGACGCTTTTGCAATCGAGAACGAACATCAGGCTGCTCGGCTCCAACCCTTTGGACGTGAGTCCCTTGCTATTCTCTGAGTGACAGGCAACACCACTGGTTTGCACATTCCCTTCGCAACTGGTAGCCTCTCATCACTGCTCAAGAAATGTGGTGCAGCCACCTTTGAGTGAAAGCCAGCGCTTTGTTCGGACCTGATTGAGGTTCGCTGCATCTATGCCAGGAGCATGAGGCTGTAGCGTTGCATCCGCTATGACAAATGCCCCGCCACTTCAGCCGCTCCAGCTGCTTCTAATCATGACTTGAGTGGCTATTCAAATCCCCTTGTACGGTAGTGCTCGACACCATGCAGCCCATAGCCAGCAACGTGCACACGGAGTGGGTCTCTCAATCACAGCCATAGTGGGTAACGCAAGGAGCTTGTCTAGTCTAAACTTCCAATGTAAAGGGCGCACAATATCGAACACCGTCTGGACATGAGCGGTGAAACTGGCTGATGGTGTACGCTAACTTTGATGGCCTGAAGCAGGTGGGTGGACCGCGAGGCCAAGATGTGGAAGCTGAAGCAGGCGGCCAAGAAAAAAGCTGAGAAGATGGCTAGCTCCGTGGCTGCACCTGCCAAGGAATCCGTGCGGATAGCTTCGCCACAACATAGCAGTGACTGGCAAGCATCCAACACTTGAACTCAGTTCACATCCAATCTATAGTCATATTTTGCGGTGGCACCAGGCATGAGGGCCCCGGCATGTGCTTTGCCAGGTCATTTTTTGGGGCCCAAGTGAAGGGTATGTAAAGTGTAAAGTGTGCAGGAGATGGCAGTCAGGCCTGAGAGTATCGAGGAATGGTGCCAATTGGTGCCACATCTGCTCTCTGAAGAGGGCTGGCAGACCATCCTGCAGAATCCTTCAAGCGGCATGTTTCGCAGCAGTAGTCCCTGGAACACGACTCTCACAAAGTTTGTGCTTCGGGATCTTCACATTATCGAGCCTCCCGATGATCCAGCAGATCTTCTAATCCGGCCAGAGACCCGTGCATGGAGTTGGCAGTCCCATCCCGAGCCGGGTAAGGAGGCCTGCGAGGTACAAACCATGCTGGCTCCTGGCGACTGCCTTGTCCGTTGGTGGGCGGATTGGAAGCTGCTGCAGCTTTGGGATGCGTTGTTTGGTACTCTGTATCAGACGAAAGATACCTTGAACTTTGGGTACCGCGCGCTGCCCGTGGAAACTCGGGAGAAGATGCGCCGCAATTATCCCGAGAAAGGGGACTGCTCTCTGGGTATGTGCGATGTACACCAACTGTTTGACAGCCTCATGTTGACTCGTTTGCAGACAGATGGACGGTATTCAATGCAGCTTATCTTTGCATTCTCCACCAGCTTGCCCTCCTCCGTGTGGACTGCTCCGCACTTTCGGTTGGCAGTGGATGAGCTTAGGGCGCAGGTCATTTCGTCTCTGAATCGGCCTTGGCTCAACATGGAGCGCCGCAAAGATCAATCACTGTACATGGTGGTTACCATCACTAGCTTCTCTTCAAGATCTTCCTTCCCCATGATCCCCATTCATGGATTACCTGCGGCTGAGGATGTGACGAAGATCGATGCCGGTAAGGGCATGGATTTGACCATGTGGGTCCGCTACGACCCCGCGCTGGTCGGCAGTAGCAACTTCTGGCTGTCACAGTATCTACAGAAATTCCTTGAGGGACTTGGCGAGACCTCGGTGAAAACTTATCAGTCCTTGGACGGGCAGATCTTGCTGCCGTATCAGTGTGCGGTGATGCAGAACGAGTGGAGCCAAGTGCGGGATCGTTTCAAAGCGGCATTTATCCTTCAGAGGAGCGCTTACCGGCGTACCTATGGTGGAACAGCGGCGCCGAAATTTGTGGAAGGTGTCAAGGCGCGCTTCCGTCGCCAGGTCAACCTAGCCAACCTTGCGAAGCGCGCTGCCGAACCCGCCAAGCCGTGCAATCCGTATGTTGTGCGCAAAACCTTTGTGGAGCTCGATGATGTGAATGCTCCAGCTGCAGGTGCAAGCTGCGTGCGTCATCGCACCGTATCGCCAATCCGCTGAAATCCTGTAAAGACGCGGCCTGTGGTTTCTTGTATAGAGAAGCACTAGCCATAGCAATTTTCAAGTAGAGTGATGAGTACACATGCACGATGACTCTGGGACATGGCCACCTGCAGGCTGTACAGACCAGCAGCCCACAGATTTCCTGTGCCTTGCTGCAGCAAGATGCCCCAGGCCTGGCCCTGCCGCTCCTGGCAGATCCTGTGATCTCGCGCACCGCATAGCGTGTACACACACAGCCCATGCCGTTTAAGGTCCGAACCATGGGCTCCTAAGTTTCCAGGGTCCTAACTATGCGCCGCTATTCGGGTTATTAGGTTTATTAGGACTTTAGAAGGTATTTACAAGGTTTTTAAGGACTCCAGGATTTGGGGCCTATACTAAGGGCCCATACTCTGGACCTTAGATACTGCAGCCTCCACAAGATGCAAAGCCGGAAGGGGGCCGTGCATTGGGCAGCGATCACCTCGCCAAAAAGGAAAGGAACGTCCCAGGAACCTCACCATCTGAGAGTGACAGTGCCGTGCTTGATATGAGCCATAGTCTAAAATCCTTAATGAGGGTTAGGGGACTGTTATAAGGGGTTATTAAGGGGCATACTGGGAGTCTAGATTATAGCTCATTGGCATCTTCAGCACCTTGAGACAATGGCATTTGGAAAGCAGCCTGGCTACCACACTACTATTATCCTTATGCAACCCCAATATGCTACAGTATATAGTCCATTATCCCTACATAACCCCAATATAAACCCCCTATATAACCCCCAAGATCCCCGTAGTTTACATTTTCTTTTCCATAATTATCCCAATATATTCCCAATATATACCCTATATAACCCCTATATAGCTCCAGTATGAATACAGTAGTTTCCCTTTTCTTCTCCATAATCCCAATATATAACCCCAATAGAGCGCACTCAGGTTTGAAACAGAAAAGCCTTCACGAAGCACGGTCTGCTCTTAGAAGCTTCAAGGCTTCTTGCTTCACTTGGGGGGTTTCCCCAAATTGGGGCTACCCCTACAAAAAGGGATTATAGGGGGATATATAGGGTTCTATTTGTGTTATATAGGGTTTGAGGTTCACGGTTTTTTAGGGTTTCCCATAGTTAGGGGAACCCTTTTTGCGGGTCTCCATAATCGTAACCAGGGCTTTAGTATCTTAAACCACCTCTTAGCACTGCAATCGCAGTGCTACTGCTGCTGCGTATTGGGGCCTACGTTTGCTGATGAGAATTGGCGAGTCAACGAAGAATCAACAGAAGATATCATAATAACTCATCATATATATGTGCGAGAAAACTCAGCATTGACAGGGTATGGCAACCATGCACCTGCTTTGCGCAAATGTGCAGCACACACACACACACACACACCCCTCTTCAGCACGTTTATCAGCATGTTGTAGGGCAATTGCTACGCCTGTTCGTGCTCATAGCAACGGCAAGTTGTTTTTCTTTGGCAAAATGTAGCCCTTGTATTACCCCAATCCCAATATGACCCTATATAACCCCATATTATTATCAAAAGGAGACATATCACTTATCCCGCTGGCAGCTGTTACAGCGGAGGCTTTCCTGAAGAAGCACTTTGGCAACATGCTGAGAGCCTGGCGCAAGGCGAAGTGACCATGATTCAGGGATAATGAAAACAAGATGGAAACTACTATAGTATATGAGGGTTATATAGGGAAAATGGGTCTGTCAAGCCCATCCGTACAGAGACATAGATGTAGGGTATTGAGTGCAGTTTGGTTAGATATCAGGCATTGGACGTTGATGGCTCGATGACACTCCAGCGATCCGAGCTGTTCAAGGCACGCGTGGGCCAACTGCAGCGGCTCCGTTGCCGTCAAGTCTTGATTAAACCTCTCTCGAACTTTAGCAAATTATACTTTTGGGCTGCTTTTCTTTCAGAAGATGGCAGCTGATAGTTCAGCTTGTGATGGGGGATTGCAGAGCAAGCAAGGTGTCATACGCACCCCCATCCGATGCTTCAAAAAAAGGACGTAGAGTTGGCTAGAGCCCTGCCGTGGTAGCCATGTAAGAGCCTGTATGCTCCCTACAGTAGGCTGTCCAGACTAGAAATCCGTTGGCGCTTTCCCTGGCTGGAGAGGCTGTAAAGACTTTGAACTGGAAGGGCAACTGTCGAGCACTGTGGCAAGCACTTGACCATGACCAGAGCGGCATCACAACCATCGAAGAGCTCCATGGCTTAACATGAAATGGACTCACGCTTTTGAGAAGCTCCATACCTGTTTCAGAGTTCTTGTAGTAAACCACACTGGCTTCTATGCCAAGGTTGGATCCTAGCTCCGCGCAATTGCTGGCATACTTCCGGGAGTGGGCTTTGACTGTGAGCCCGTCCAAGAGGCAAGGCAAAGAAAGCCAGGGTCTCCCTTCGGGGAGCCCATGAGGTCAATGAATTTATTGGGTTGTTTGAGGTGCATCAGGGACAGCCTTATAGTTGGAGATACGTATATGCCATATATGCGCAACAGGCAATAGACTCCGCATAGCCATATAGTCTTGCACCCAGTTCAAGTTTTGTGTTTGCCTTGCAAAACGACATGACAGCCAGCAGCGATAAGTCCAGGTCATGTGGTTCCCTGAATCCTCCATAGCGATGAGATTCTGCATGCAACGTCTCCAAACCCTGCAAAATGAGAAGGTCACCATCAAAAAGCAAGAAGAATGACAAACATTGGAACGTTTGATTCTTTTTGGTTTTTGGCTCGTGCACGAATCATTGACCACCAATGGCCAGAACCTCCACGCAGCTATCAGCGCATGAGGGCACATTTTTTACAATGTCGATCCCTTGTATATCCTCCACGAGATTAGCTGGGCTATGAACCATCTGACATGACACCTGAAGAGGGGGATAGAGGGGGAATTGAGTTCTTGAATTTCTGATGAGCAGCCACAGCAAGGGAGATTGAAATCAAAGGCTCCCAACCAACCTCTTGATTTAGCAATCAAGCAAAAAATGGGATGCAACTTTGGGTTTCGCTTGTGGTAGTTTTCCATGGGTAAGGGCTGGGGGGGGGGGATTCCAAAGCAGGAGAGTGCTGTATACAGCCGATTTGAAGAGGCACTTATCTTTTGACACCCGTTTTGTTGGATTTGAGCAGAAGTTTGCCCTCAGGCCAAGCGAGGTTTTCGAGGTGCTAGACCGCTTCCGTGGCCAGACTTAATTATGGCAGTAGTAGGAATGAGGATAATGGTGATAGTCGTACCAGCAGCAGTAGCAGCTGCAGCAGCAAGGGGCTCGTAGTAGTCGTCGTTGTGTTATGATTATCACTTAGCATTGGGCTGAAAACGCGATCTCTCCTTGAGCGTTTGCCACATTCTTCTTTTTTTGAGGTCGTGAGTGTCAACCTCAAGATGACCAACATGCTAGCATCACCTTCAAATTGCATGTCTTCCGTCGGGTCCAACTGACCAAGACGTTAACATACACTTTTGCCAATTCATCCTTTTATTTCATCCAGATGACCAAAGTGTTACTTATCTTACCTTTGGTAGCATTCGCCCATCAGAGCTTATGCAGAACTTGGAATACTAGTACATGTACCGGCCTGAGACACAGCCCGATGCCTCGGTGCCCTTGGTATAGTTGCACCGTAGCTGGTCTAATTTACATCCTGGTCATCAAGAATTCCGTGAATTAGAGTTTTTGTTTATAGTCCTGGGGTTGAGTTGACCCTGAAATCAGGCGTGGCCAACGTGGGGTTGTGAACAAGGCTTTTTTGGGGAGAGTTGTTTCTGAGAAGTACCCTACTATTTGAGCCGTTTGGAATTGGTAGAAGGGCCGTCGCTTTGCATATCCAGCTGTCATAATTCTTGCAGTCGTCATCAAGGTAGTAGTAGTAGTCGTCGTCGTCGTCGTCGTCGTCGTCGTAGTCGTTGTCGTCGTGGTAGAAGTAGTAGTAGTAGTAGTAGTAGTAGTAGTAGTGGTGTAGTAATAGTGGTAGTAGCAGCAGTAGTAGAAGTAGGAGAAGAAGTAGTAGTAGTAGTAGTAGCAGCAGTAGCAGCAGCAGCAGTAGTAGTAGTCGTGATGGTCATTCAGTAGCTCTCACGCTGCTACGAGCTAGTCAACTAGTGCGCCTTGCTACTCCTATTCTTCATTTAGTTTATGTTTATCGAGCACGCATAAGACAACCTACTACTTCAACAAGGCATACGTTCATCCGTGAGTTACGGGGGCCCCTTCTTGGGTTCAGAACATCATGCAGCATCCCAAAACGCTGTTTTGGTACGGAAGGCTGCAGGGTTCTGAGAGGGATACAGAATAGAGGCATTTGATGGGGAGGTGTCCCGGCTAGATAATTTGGAGTTACATGCTTGGGCAAGCCAGGCAGGAAAAAGCTTTCTCACACCCAGTTTCTCCAAGACACTTGGCATCAAATCTGGCATAGGCTTCAACTTTTGCAGGTTTCTTGCTGCAGGCAAGCAAGTCCAAGCCGGGTTGCGCAGTTGCATGAACAGTCTGCAAAATTGCAGATGCAGTTTCCCAAAATGGCAGAAAGTGCCTGAGTGATGCAGGCAGCAAGTCACGAGGGATAGAAGTTCCATGCTTGCCTGGTCCACTGCTTTCAGCCGTTTCCCCCAAGGAGGTGGAGTCTCGTGGCTTTAATCGCTGGAGCAAGCAACTGGTTCCTATTCTGGACTGGCAAGAGAAGAGACTTGGCAGTGCTATAGATGAGACACACACACACATACGCCGCCAGCCAAGAACATGAAAAAGCCTTGAAGAGTTCAATGCACAGTGCAGAGTCAGAGCGTAAAGCAGTGTAGCCTTGAAGACGGCGCACTCAGGCTAGGCTCTGAAGCCACTATTTCAGTCATTGATGAAGTTCATTCAAAAACAGAAGTGAATGTAAGTTCGCAGCCAAGGGATTACCTTTGCGTGCGCGACTTGGAGTTCTTGGATGTGTGGCGTGCACCAGTAGCTTGGCCTGCCTTGCATTCTTTGTTTTTGGCGTTAGTTTTCGGTAATCTTACATGCCGATGACCTCACCTGCTTGGTTTCTGCCAAGGTGGTAGCACAGCCACTGGACTGTTTTCTAGACACAAAACAAGAAGCACCAAATGACGCCACAGAGCTGGCACCAACGCTACTTCTCTATGGCTTCATGAGGACAATCATCAGCACAATAGCGGCGCTCCCGGCATAACTCCGGCACCGGGCCTCATCACTACAGGGATCCCAACAACTCCCGCTGAAAAGCAACATCTGTTTGGGCTTCACTGCAAGACTTGCAACGTTGTACAGAACCATGTGCCTCGTGGATTACAGCATGCCCTTTAGCTCGGGTAACTGCCTAGCAATCGCGCAGCATCTTGGTATCAACCTTCCCAAGCAGCTCAATCACCGATTCTGCCTCGCATCATATCGGGAGTTGGAAGGGTTGTACCAGGTACTCCTGAAATATAGCTGTTTGAACGTATTCCAAGGAGCATCACTCAGGGCTTTCTGGGCATCCACACTTGGCATTTCTTTTGGCGCCACCCATAGTCCTCCTGTTTGGTGTACCTAAAATCAATTTGTCCCTAAGTTGATAAAACCAGGAAACCTCTAAACCCTAAATGAGCAGCGGTTTTTTTAACGGTAGATCAATTATAAGTGCGC